TCGTAAACATGAAAGGGAGAATTCTTTGTTTAAGACAAAGTTCAATAACGTCTTTGTGAAAAATCTCTCCAACTCCACAACCGAAGATGATTTAACGGAAGTTTTTGGAGAATATGGAAAAATGACGAGTGTTGTTGTGATGAGAGAGGCTGATGGTAAATCTAAGTGCTTTGGATTTGTTAATTTTGAGAATCCAGATGATGCTGCACGGGCAGTTCAGGAGCTTAATGGGAAGAAATTTGATGATAAGGAGTGGTTTATTGGCAGAGCACAGAAGAAAGCTGAAAGGGAGCAAGAATTGAAAGTGAGATTTGAACAAAGTATGAAGGAGACTGCAGATAAGCATCAAGGGGCTAACTTATACTTAAAAAATTTGGACGATAGCATTGGAGATGAGAAGTTGAAGGAACTTTTTTCCGTTTTTGGTACAGTTACTTCTTACAAGGTGCACGAAAATTAAATTATTATTCTAGTCAATCCTCGGGATTCTGCATTCTCAAACATTAATTTTCAGGTCATGCGGGATCCTAATGGTATCAGTAGGGGTTCAGGATTCGTTGCCTTTTCAACCCCTGATGAAGCTTCTCGTGCTGTAAGTACATTTTTTTTAAGTAAATAAATATGGCGTTTTATCTCATACTTTGTCCCCATTAATATAGCTTGCAGAGATGAATGGAAAAATGGTTGGCAGCAAACCTATTTATGTTGCACATGCCCAGCGCAAAGAAGAGAGGAGAGCTAGATTGCAGGTAATTTGACATAGCAACTAGCATGGTTTGAATACTTTATGTGTTGCATGTACCATTCCAATTCGGATGTAGCTTTTAGTTTTAAGCAATAGTTTAGGAGTTTCTCTCATGTATTTGATTTCTGGCAAATAACAGCTGATTCTATTCGGTCTGCAATTATAGGTTTGCGGATTATTCCCAACATTTTTGATGCATTATAAATTGGAGAGTGGAAATCATAATATGATCATTTATTGCCTTATTTGACTCACTTCTGATTTCTTTATTATTCCTCATTCTGACCTGGAAAAAATAATCTTGCACCATTTTTGTCCTCATATTAGATTCTAAATGTAAAAGTCAAGATTGAAGAGAATGATTGTGTAAACTATTTATTTACAATATTTGATGCATAAAAGGGGTTGTGTATAGTGTTAAAAGTTTTTGGCTTAAAACAATAAAGCACAACTATAAGTTGATCTCAGTTATGAAATTGACCTAGATTAAAATTATTAATTTGGAGGGCACTAATAAGTCAATGATTATTGTAGAATGTTGTAGGTGGGGGTTTTATGATTGTAAATCGTAATCTTAGGCTATCTATTATATAATTGAATTGACCAAATATATATTAATGTTAAGGTTGAAGGCGTATAATTAAACATAAGGGTGGAGATGATACACGAATGAGTTGAAGGTAAATGAATTAAAAACTATTTTAATTTAGAGTCTTAACAAACCTCTTATAATTCTCTTGATGTTTAAGTAATGTGATAGTCTCTTTTATATTCCCTATTACTTCTCTTATTCTTCTTTCTTTTATTTGGAATGCCTTTTTGCTTCTTTCGATGCTCTAATATTCTCTTTTCTCTTATATTTCTTGGATAGTTTCCTTCTCTTCTGTACTTCTTGGGTAAGTAAAGAGTGTGTGTGTGTGTGTGTGTGTGTGTGTTGAGAGAGAGAGAGAGAGAGAGAGAGAGAGAGAGAGAGAGAGATATGTATGTTGGCAAAGTGGACACAAGATGAATGTGGAGAGAGGCTTTGACGCAGTTGGCTAATATAGGAAATGATGATTGTAAGACTATGGATACAAGATAATTATCTTGTATTTCTTATTTCAGGAAATCCTAGTTATAACTAGTTATTTATAAGAATCCAAAACTTATGAGAAACATAAAAAATGATAACTAGTTTTTTATCTTATCATGCTTGAAAGTTAAATTATCAGATAAAACAAATCATTATTTGTTGATTCTTAACTTATTTATATAAAGCTATCTAGATCTTGCGAAGTTATCTGAATTTCAATGAATTATTGATTGAAATATAAAAATTAATTCTCCCTCCTTCAGATTTTTCCTTATTTTCCTTTTAAGCAGGAATTGGCCTTGTACAAATTTAAATTAGAATTTTGCATTTGAATTCTATTGTTCTTGTTGCCTCGTAGCCCTTGTAGCTTTTATGGTACCAATTTAACCTTTGGGCTTAGGCTTGATTTTGTGCTTGCAATAATCTCAACAAATTTGATATTTTTGCCACTTAGATCATGGCTCTCTTTTTTTATTTTCATTTGCTTCTATAAATGCTTAGAGCTGTGATTATACTATTAATGTGTCACTTGTGTTGGATTGGTTTATAGTGCTGTTTCATCTCAAGGCCTTGCCTAGATTGGCAAGGTACTAGTCTCTTTGACTATGTCATGGGCTAGCAAGGCGGTTTCTTATTTTGCTCTTTATTGAGTTGTTAAGAGGTTTTCTTTTTCAAACCTTCCTTTTGAGTGCTCCTTTCTTATTTGACTCATCTCTTGAGCTCCTAGAAGGGTTGGCTGGTGTTTAAGATGAAGGATCCTGTGGCTATGGTAGTTGATCACTTTGCGCATGCTGTGTTGTTTTCAAATTATTGCTATAAAGTATATATTTATTTCCTAGTTTTACAAACTTCATTTGTTTTATAGAAATTTTTAGGATTATATACACATATTGAACTAAATTAAAATCATCAATGTTTTGCCCAATGGTGATAATTTTTACATTGTATTGATCTTTTTTAATACACCTGAAAGATTAAGGGCTGTGGTGTGGGTTTGTGTGGTATATAGCCCTAATTCCTAAAGTTGAGCAAGGAAATAAAGTTTTTGCCACCACTACGGTTTAAAATAAAATCGAGGGGATTTACATACCTTGCAATTCTTATCTATTTACTGTTTTCGTTCGTTTTTCTCTTTTTATTTTAAAAGGAGTCGTCAGCCTGTCGATCGTCGTATACTTTCTTTTCCCGAATAAATCTCTCTTTCGGGTCATGTGAACGACCTGAGGAAGAGAGGAACCGGAAAAGAACGACATACAACAAAACGACAAACAAGAGAAAACACAAAACGCGGAGAGCCTACGTGCGGTACACCTCACAAGGATAGGTTGAGAGTGTTCACCCAAACAAGATCAGGCGGAAGCACCTTAAACCAATATTCTCGGAAGAATGCCTACGTAAACTATCCAAAACCAGAGAGTCAGGTGTAGGTGGTTGTTATGGGGTCAAGAGCACTCCTAATGAGACGTATTCCACTTTGTTAATTACATCTTGGGGGGTACCCAAGAATACTCTCGATAAAAGGAGTTTTGCTTGGATTATCGTGAACCTGGGGCAATAGGTACTCGAAGGAAGATTATTCCGTGTCGGAACAATCCCTGTGCTTGAAAGCTCGTGCTAAGCCAACGGACATAGAGTGAGTCTCTCACATCCCAAATGGGTAATGGCTGATCGACATACGGGGCCCGCAGAATAACCTAAATCATTTTGACGGGGATATCCCAACACGTCAAAGTACGACCGGGCCAAAGGGCAAAGGACAAATTGTCGTATCCCAAATGGGCGGCAGCTCATATGCATCGGGCCATCAAGGTGATATCAACGAAGTTAAGGAGGGACAGGGCTCAAAGGGGCTCAACAAAAGGAAGGTAGAGTGATCCTACAAGGTAGATGTAACTGGGTCGAGGTACCACATACCCCTCATACACAAATACTAGGACCCTAAGTTTACCTAGTCGTGAAGGTAGTCGACCCAATACATCCTGAAATTCCCGGTCAGCAATCTGTGAATTGCATCTTCCACGGGAGATCTCGGTAGCCCTAAGGTTAGAGGAAAGAAACTCTATCCTATGATTATAAGCTGGAGCTCCAAGAGGTGGGACTTAT